GTGTGTACCCCCCTCCCCCTCCTCACACTTTTTCTGCAACCCCGACCCACACAAAACTTACGTAACAAATAGTTTCATCAGCTGCGACCGACTTACGTCTGTTAGTAAATGTACTCGTGCGAACTGACCTAGATTCTCCCCCCAACATGACGCTGCAACCTTCCTTCCTCCTCCCAGTTGGCCAGTCAGCTGACGCGCACAACGGCCTCATTCTAAAAATAGCTCCACCCGTGCCGCGCACGCACGCTCTTGCGCACGCCTGTGACAGAATCAGCTGTTTAGTCCCTAGACCCGAACTCTTTGTCGAGCAGAACGGACCACAAATCTTCGATGGAGCAAACCCTGTCTATTTCAACCTCAAGGTAAATCTACCTTTACTTTGATATATATACAATGTCGACAAAGAATGATTTGTTGGACAGGTTTTTTTTTTTTCGCCAACAACTGTATATTTTTACGTTTCTCTTTGCGATCGATAGCTTGTTTACATTTTCCGAGGACAAGAAATCTTCGCTGTGTGTTGTCTCTATACGTTCTTATTGACCGTCTAGTGTGTTGTGTATCGCGCTGGGTGGGTGGTTCCCTCCTCAGCTGTTCCCACACACCAACGCTCAGAAAACCGATATTTAGACCCTTACTGGCCCTTAGCTTAGAGACGACGCCAACGCGTGCTGCAAGCTCTTATTTAGCGTAGTTATTATAGAAGAGAATATTTGGTTTTAACTATTCCTCATTAACTGTAGGCTGAGTCCGTTACTCTAGAACTAGAATCTAGTACTTACAAAGATTCGATATGGTCTTATTATGCTTTGTTATTGTTAACAATAACAAAAGGTTTCAATTTGAGTACAAAATATAAAATATAAATGATATAGAATCTAATGCGTTGTTAAATAGGCCTAATTAATATGATAATAATAATAAAATGTCGTTTACGATTATGTTGCAGCGTTGTGGGTTGTTGTTTTTTTTGGGTTTTTTTTTGGGGGGGGGTTTGGTGGGGCCTATTTGTAAGTGTAAGATCGGGTACCACTGAGTTTGAGTGAGGATGCCCTACTAGTATCAATGATCAGCGCTAAGAGTGCCACTGGTGGGGCGCTGATCATGGTCTCTTCAAAAGCTTGATCCGTTGTCACATGTTGTACCCCCCCAATCCGTCCTTCGTTCCAGCCGCCCATGCAAATATGGAGCAAAGCATGCATGCATGAATATTTGCATTTGCAACTTGCAAGCATGCATGCATCCATGCATGCAGAGAAATGCACATGTGCATGCATGCAACCTTGCCTGCAGAGAAATAGATTATATATGCATGCACTTTTATACAAGATGGTACTGCAAAAATATTATGCATTCACCAATCCATTCATGATGCATAATTAATTACCTATGCATGCATGCATGCTTACATACATATTGTTGATTTTGCAAATTCCTTAATTTTTATCCATTAAATAATCCATTCATTCTTTCTTAACTCATTCCTGGGAAAAGCAGACTTTGTTACGTTCATAATTTCATCACTCAAGAATATTGAGACGTTCTCTGGTGATGCAAGAATGAGCAGCCTGCGTCAGGTTGCTCGTGAGCTGCATGTAAACAACAGGTTGCATCAGATTCTAGCGGTGCGGGGTCTTCCCCCTGGCCAGGCAGCCAGCTGCGAGGAGAGGGCGGGGGTAGGGAGGTTGCGCGACCTGGAGCGAATCTAGGTCATCAGCTGATCGGGGGTAAACAAGCAGGTTGCCTGCTGCTAGCTGCTGTTCCACCTTGATGGTTTTTGCGAAAATGGGGGTGCTTTTTATTTAAAGGTTGCACTTCTGCTGCTCTTTTACAGCGTTGCTGTTGTCTATCTGTCTGCCTGTCTGGTAAATTTTTACCTTCACTCATGCATACAAATACATGTAGTTTTGTTTTTGGGGTCAAACGGCCGTAACTTTTGCTGCAGATCACACAAGCAAACGCATGGCTTTTAAAACTTTCGCAAATCATTTTTTTTTCTTGAGTATTTCAAACCTAATTGCAAAACATCAAATGAAGGGGAAGAAACAGGGTGTAGGTTTGTTAACGTTGTCGTGTCAACGTGCTTCTCTTCACTCCAACAAATCGAAAGTTACGACAGGAGACAGCAGTGACCTTCACCTCCCCGATATCGACCTTCACCCTTTGACTGACTCTTTATGTTGTGTCGCCGTAAAAAATCCTATAGCACGGAATCACGAATTAAAATTGTATGTCGAAGTATTAAACTTAATATATGTTGTAAAATATTGTGGAATCGATACTAATGCGACATAGATACATATGTATTGGAATGAAGACAGTGTTAGCCCCGTGGTAGGCACGGAACGTGTGATCATTATTATTTTATCGACAGTATGAAACGCAAACGCCTGTTAAAAACACAGTAAGCGAAGACGCAACTAGTGCCTGTTTTTCTTTGAGCTTTCACTGCTCAGTACGAGAAAACAGCTATCCTATGACATTTTGTCACCTCCATCATATTCTCCAGATTTAGTCCTGTCCCTTATTTTTGGTGGGGTTTTAGTTGGGGTTTTTTGTGTTTCTCAAACTGAAAAAAGGATTTAAAAGAAAGGCATTTGGAAAGAGATGATGAGGTCAAAAAAGCGGTAGAGGGCTGGTTTTCTGAAAGAGGGGGTCTTCTATTCTCAAGGTCTTTTCTTCAAGGTCATACACTGATTTTATTTTGCAGTGTTTTAGGGAGGGAAGGGTAGAAAAAGCATGAGTTGAACAAAGCTGTAATACAGGGTACTCAGTTTGCAGGACCTTCGTTCTAGGCATCTTGGTGAAATCAGGCACTCGTCAAAATGATGAAGTCAAAGATATCGGCATTTTGCCACCAGTTTGGTAATTTTTATCACAGTGTTGTTGTTTCATCTGGGTGGAAAGGGGTGGGGGCGGTTCCGCTCCTTATATACAGTTAAAAACACAGTACTGTGCGAAGAAAGCACAACAAATGTAAATTGATCTTCAGTTTCAAGGACTGCATGTCAAGCTATGCTAGTCACCATACTTTGGCGACCATTTATCGTTAGCTTGAACTCTGAAAGCAGACCAAACTTGTCTACAATCACACGTATCTCGATGTCTATTCCAGAAAGATGGGCATTTTCTCATCGAAAGATTGACCAATGAGTAAATTACATAGAAGGAAAAATGGGTGGCGGTGGAAGAGCGCACGCTGAAAGTGGAGACGAAAGCAGACGACAGAACAGGATTAGTCTTGACCACAGATATATA